TTAATGATTGCTATCGGGATGTGAAGAGACTTTCAACCAGCATAACAAAAAATGTTTCTGAAGACAATCACCTATTGCACCTTTAATTACTTATGTAAGGATATGTAAATGTAAGGATTTTAAGATTCTCAAGTCTGTAAACTAATTAATAAATAAGGGGGAAAAAAGTAGATCAAGAATCGTTCTAGAATCAGATCGTGACTCCCAGAATCGGAATCGGATCGGATCGTGAGGTGACTAAAGATTCCCACCCCTAATATAGGCCTATTTATTTCTTTTATATATAGCTTTATTGTTTTTCTCCATTCGCAGAAGCGCTGCAGGTGCGTGACGTGACCATGTGAATCCTCACGTTCTGTTGTTTATGCTGCTTTTTGCGTGTATAAAATTAATCCCAGCCCCAGGAAAACAAATTTAGGTATTTTTATTGGGTCACAGCCACGTATCAATTAAAATTTCATTTAATTGTAATTTAACATAATCTTGTTGGTTAATAATGGCTTAACGACCGTCGGTTGTTGGTTAGAAGAAATAAAATAACCGAAATGAACATTTCCTCTAAAAGTTAATCAGAAAAATAATGATAGGCTAATACAACTGCACCTATTTATGAATATAAATAGATTATGAAGTATCTAAATAGACTATAACAAAGTACAAAAAAAACACTTGTTAAAAATAATTTTATGCAGGCCTATACAATTTAATAATAGGCTATATAATAAAGTTTTGTTTCAAATGGATGAAAAACAGGCTACTAGCCTATATAATTTACGCAATAGTTTTTTTTTTTTTTTTACAAAATTATGTATGGAAACAGCTCAAGGGCAATTTTTTTTGTGATACACCAAAACTTATGCGACAATTCGTTTTTTTTAGGGATGATGTCATCACGCACACCATTTTATTGGTAAAAGGCCAGTTGGATGGAAACAGGCTGTAGACAGCAGTGTTCGCAAAGGTTTTTTTTTACGCATATTCTCTGTCGATAACAAAACAGCGCAAAAACTGGGTGGAAACTTGGCTATTGACGATTAATATATTGATTACGTTTTTGTGTGTGTGTGTAGGGGGGGGGGAGCTGGACAACACATTCTTTACATTAGTTATTTTAGTAGCATGAAAAACAAAATGGTTATTCAATTTGGGATTAAAACATACAAAAATCGAGCAACAAACGTTCGGACCCATCACTGAAACGGATGATTTCAGTCTAGCACAAGCTCCCTGAATCTCGCTGTCTAAACAGCGAAATTAATTTCTTGTTTACATCGTTTCTGCACTGTTGTT